AGACTGCTATCATGTCTCCCCTGGTCCTTCTCTTCACTAGACTAGCCAGGCCCAGTTCCTGCAACGATTCATCGTATGTTTTAGCCTCCAGTCCCCTCATCATCCTGGTTGCTCTCCTCTACACTCTTTCTAGAGTCTCAACATCTTTTTTATAGTGTGGTCTTGCAACCACAATTGAGCCCAAAATTTCGGTTGTTAAGTGAGACATTTGTCAACTGGGTTTTGCCTTATTTTACAACTTTTCTTGCCACTGTTTTTTAAAGTGAGTAATACACTATCTTTACAACTCAGCAGGCAAGCCACGCTAAAATCCAGCATCCCTGTTGACTTCGCTGATCGGAAGGTTGTGAAAGGTGGGAACCCATCATAAATATGAGTGGGGATGCTGCAATGGTTGTGTGAAGAACAGTCATGAGTCACTTTTTTTTTAACTCTTGCCGTAACTTCAAACATCACTAAAAGAACTGTTATAAGTTGAGAACTACCTGTGTTCTGGAGATCATCATCATCTTTGTCTTGCAGCCTGATCCACTCATACTTCAAGTTCAATATGTCCTTGAGAAGTTCTCCTGTGGAATTCTCTGAGACAAAGCAGGAGTCATTCTTTCTTCAACTTATGACATCTTCCACAAGTGGGAAAACATCCAGAAAACCTGGCAATAGCACTTCCTTTCTTGCTAATGGACACCTTTTAGGGTGGTTTGATTTCTGCCAAACAAAACACATCTATCTATAGAATATTCCTCCATAAATCTTGAAGATCACTGAGGGGAGAAACTTGATGAGCATCAACGTTCTTCTCCGTGAGCATGGCCTTCCCTTGAACTACAGCCTCATTCCTTCCATTTTTATTCAGGTTTTTTTTTTTAATGGCTAAGTCATGTAACCTGACTTATTCGAAATAAGAGAAACCAGCAGATCTCTGGATGCTGTTCTGGGTTTCTGTACTGTTGTACATTGTGCTTATGGATTGATTTTTAATAACTCACCCAATTTGTCTTAGTTATCCCTTTAAAACGAATCAGCTGAATTGGTTGAAGTGGGGTTAAGGTAGTGACTTTTTCACAATGGAACAATGCACCTAGGAAGATTTAGTTGATGAAATTTATCAAAGACAAGGACTACAATTCATTGCTATTCATTCAGGCTCTCTTTATATACTGGAGCTTATTTTTGCAAACATTCAAAAAACCTGAAAGAGGCAAATAATACATGTTCCCCAAATTTTATAATCCTTAGCTCTTTTCCTTCTTGCAAATTTTGATCTAAACTGAACAGCTTAAAACCAGACAGCTTATGTGGTTTTTCAAAAGTCCTCATTACAGTGCCAAATTTAAATGCATAATAAACCCCCAAAGTGAAAACAATAAAATATATGGAGAGTGATTACATTAAATCGCACACAACCACCCCACATAACCACCAGGAGTTCAGCTTGATTTGAGAGAGACACAATTTTTAAAATTAAGTTATTTTTGACTTAGAGTACTATTCATTTAAATTTTTCTTAATTTCACTGATTTTGGAGGGAATGCACACTGAAACAGACTATAGCGCTTGCCTGAAAGTATTATTCTAAATTTTATAGTGTATTTCTATAAAACAGTCATCTCTAACTTAGCATTGTTCGGGATGAGTGCTTCTCAAACTCAGTAACTTTTAAGATATGCTGGCTGGGGATTTCTGGGAGTTGAAGTCCATCCATCTTAAAGTTGCAGAGTTTGAGAAATTAGCTGACATACCTAGAATTCTCAGGCAGATTTTTGCAGGTGTGGGATTTTTGGGGGGAGGGTGGGGAGCCTTTAAATCAGTCTTAACTCATAGTCCTTGCAAGTCCCAGCAGTTTTCTTGGCAACATTTTCAAAAATGGTAATTTCTTTGTCTTTTTCTTTCTAAGGCTCAGAGGGGAGGGAGAGAATTAGACAGGCAGAAAATGAGAGAGTGGGTGAGAGAGAGAGGGAGCGAGAGAAGAGAGAAAGAGGGAGGGAGAGATAAGAGAGAAAGAGGAAGAGAAAGAGAGGGGGAGACAGAGAAGGAGACAGAGAGGAGAGAGAGATGGAGAGAGAGGGAAGGAGAGGGCGGGAAGAGGGAGAGAGGCCCAAGTCACCCAGCTGGTTTTGTGTCTGAGGCAAGGTTACAGAGTCACTCCAGCTTCTACTTCACTGCCTTTAACCACCAAGTTGAACTGCCTTCTCGTCTAGAGCAGCGGTCGCCAATCGGTGGGCCAGGAGAAAATTTTGGTGGGCCACAGAGAAATCTCACCCCCAGAGCACCCCCCCAAAACAATTAATCCAGGCTGCGAGCCGCCCACAGGAACCCTCCCCACCCACTCACTCCTTACCCGGTAAACTTGCCTGCTAAAGTGCCTTTTTTTCCTTTTCCCAACCATCATCTGTTCTGCTCTGCCGGGAGATTTAGATTAGCTAGGAAGAAGGAAATGGTTGGATTTCTTGCTTTCTAGCTAGTCTTTAGATCTTCGGCTCAGCACAGCCCCAACCTCCCTTAGGACTGAAGGTTTGCTTGCAAGCAAATTCAGTGCAGATTCACGGCAAGCAAATTTGAGAGATTGAGCTAGCCAATGGCAGATAGATCACTGAATGATTCTGTGAGCAACTCAATCTGCCTGCTTTGCCTGATTTTGGGTAAAAGTTGCTCTTTTTTTAAATAAAGAATCCAATCTTTACATGCCTGGTGTGTTGTGAGTTAATTTTGTGAGTTTGCTTGCAAGCAAATTTTATGTGACAGACTGAGCTAGCTAATGGCAGATAGATCTCTGAATGAATCTGTGATTCTGTGAGCAACTCAATCTGCCTGCCTGCTTTGCCTGATTTGGGGTAAAAGTTGCTCTTTTTTAAAATAAAAAATTCAATTTTTATATAAATATTTATAATATTTACATACAAGCCATGCCCAGCCAGTCACATGACCACCAAGCCACACCCACAAATTAGGCCATGCCCACAGAACCAGTTAGTAGTCCCTGGGATCTAAAATTATGAGTTTGGTGGTCCCTGAGGTCCAAAAGGTTGGCGACCCCTGGTCTAGAGGGTGGAATCTTTTTAAGTGGTATGAGCTGTACTAGCAATTCAAGGTCACCTTGGTATTTTTATGCTGGATAAAAATACAACCAAAATACCACATGTACAATTGGGATATATATGCAGCTACAGATCCAGACAGAATGATACACAGGCATAAATGTAAAGTTGTAATTCTGCAGTTTAGACTGCATAGTCCTTTTTAATCCAAATCTTAAATTTAAATTAATCTTCCATATTCCCGCTATTTTACAAATAAGTAAAGGCAGCAAACTTAAAACACCAATGGCACACATGTGTTTACTGGGCAGAAAGAAAGCCCCTTTCAATTCAGTGGCACCTTTGAGTTAATTGATTGATTATTGCGATGTAACGTTATCAGTAACTTTATCAGATACGTTAGAAGGGTATTCTAAGTAAATAGAGCTCTAGAAACATGTTAACAAGAAAAAAATAGAAAGATGATAAAACTGTGCAGTATAAACTAAGAATCAATAAAAGAACATTGACAAGGAAATCAGATTTCAGTAGAAATATTGGTAATATACAGTATCGATAGAAACACTGGTAAAACCATCATAGTATTTATTTATTTATAAAATTTATAGGCGGCCCATCTTACCTCAAGGTAACTCTGGGCAGCTTACAATTATTAATAATAATATATGTATATGTTTCCATTAGCTTCATATTTGGCCTGCAATAATCTGGGTGAGTTCCCACTTTCTCTGGTCTTGCATCCAGGGATCATCTGGAATTCTATAGCCCAGATATGGAGCCCCTTACTCTTTCTAACTAACCAGGTTTAGTTTGCAAGAAGCTAGCCACCTTCAGAATGATCACTAACACAGAGCAATAATCTTAAACCCTTGCAAACATTCTGACCCAGATCCCAGCTAAAAACAAGCTGCAGACTGAGATTCACTGTGATCTCTCTCTCTCTCTCTCTCTCCCACCTCCACTTACAAAACAACTTCCAGAAATAGCAATATTCTCCTCCCCTCCCTTCCCCCCAAAAGTCAGAACACTCAGCAGTGAAGCCCCCCCGCGATAGGAGTCTACTAAGAATGAGGTGAGAACCACTCACTGGATCCATTCTCTGAAGTAAAATCATGTAGCAACACATATATAATATCATTCACAGACTACACATCTCTGAGATTTATTTTCCTATTTTGGCTGCCAGAGAGGCCCGGATCTCGGTGGCTTAGATGAACTTCTCCTGACAACTTGGAAAGCTGATCCTTTCCCTTCCCTTAATCCCTTTCCCTAATCCTCCCCTGCTCTTTCACTTTTTAATCTAGGGAAAGTGCAAATGCAAACAGCTGGAGAAACACCATTTCTCCCCCTCTCTCACTTGCACAATCACTACCCGAGTATCCTTAAGCCACTCGCACCCTCTCTCCATCCATCCAGTCCTGCAAACGTTCCTCAAATCAGGGTCAATGTTGACAATCGAAGCAAGGGAGACAAAACACGTTCCCACCAACCCACCGAGGAGGGAAGGAGGTTGGTGATTCTTGCAGACAAAAGATCCAGGTGTTTTCAGCGGCTTCTCGCCCGTTTTTCCAAGCAAGATTGACAAACACAAAAAAAGCGAGAGGCACCCCTTTCCCCCTCCAGACCGCAAAGCCACCCCCCCGCCAAACGGGGTTTAAGGAAGAAGGACGCAGAGGAGGAAGGCGGGAGGATAAAGAAACAAGAAAGAAAACCAGGCAGACGGCAAAGAAATTCCAGACACGCCAGCGTCAAGATGGCGTAGAAACGGCAAGGCCTCTAGAGAGAAAATACCCATCTCTTCTTTCTCTCACACACACCCCATTCTCGGAACCCCAAACCATTGAATTCCCAAGGGGGGGGGAAAAAAAAATAGAAGCGGCATTTTCCTAACAGGTCGAAATAATAATGCCTTTGCAGGTTTGCTTAGAAATGCAGCAATCCACCCCTCGACCCAAACAATACCTGTTTTTTCTTTGATTTCGCAGAGAACGGTGAAGAGAGCCGGTTTCATGCGGTGACAATTCAGCGTGTGTTTCCTGCAGTTGAAACAGTGGAAGAAAGAGAGAAGATAAAGCCATTTGGTTCCTTTTCTGTGGTTTCAAGGAAAGGGAGAACCTTCGTGTCCATCATCGCTCACAGGCCTCGCTCGGATGAAGATTCATCCACGTCTAGCAGAGTCCGTTCCACACCCCCCCCCAGCAATTCCCAATATAATTCCAACATCCGGATTTCCCCAGCAATGAAAAAAAAAAAAAAACCACATGCATTTCCTTTCATTATGGAACATTTTTATCCAAATTATGGGACAATGTTCCACGGGCAGTGAAATGGGAGAACTTTTTCTTTCAAGAACTTTTTCAAAACCACAAAATAATAAACTCTATACTCATTGCCTGCCAGGACTATACACCAGTCCGAAGTTTGTGTGTTTGTTGAAGCTTTGATGTTTTTAATCCATTTTTCTGCCTGATTTAATTGTGTGTGTGTGTCTGTGTGTATGTATGTATGTATATGTACACACACACACACACACACACACACACATGCAAATACTCTTCTTCCTGCTACAAAAGGACCCTCCATGAAATAAGATTCTCCATTTTGCATACACAATTCACCCCACTTCTAAAGAGTAACCCAATACACAAAGTATTGTAATTGGTTTTTTTTTTTTGTAAATTAACACCACCTAGAAAGAGAACTAAGACCTGAATCCTAGATAACATTGATGCATACAAATACATCTTTAAGTAAAACAGCAAAGGGCTAATCTTTTATTACTGTATCCCCAAAATGGAGTGAAAATTATGAACCTTCCACACTAAAACACAACTTTTGCCATCCTAACTAAAATCTTAAAAGCAAAAGCCTCTTTGGAGTCTTACAAGCTTCAGCGCCCAGCAATTCCACATAAAAACACCTCATGCAGAGCCTGCTATTCAATTTACTATAGAGTCATATTAGATTTAACAGACACAAAGCCACAAGTCTTACTAAAATGCACCCTTGAGGAACCATCCAAATATACCATATTCCTTCTTTTTGGCTGGCACCTCACAAGAGTTAAGTAGTATAGCCTGAGTACTTTCCACTCACAGCAACAATTCTAATTGAAAAACAAATACCTTCCAGGAACTGAAATCCATCTTCTGAAGCAAACTAATGTAATACAAAGCTCTTCACACACAACATCAAAACACATCTCAGTAGCCCTGCCTGGCAAAAAACCCAGCAACATCACAAAACAATGGCTCTTTAAAGACTATCAGGAAATAAACTAGTTTTAAAAGAAAACCACAACCTGAATCCACCCAAAGTTAAAAATTCAGAAGTTGCAACCTTAATACCAAGCCAGTGTTGCACTCCAGATCAGAAGGTACAAATGCAAAAAATTACTGAGTATAATTATCAATACTAAAATTGTGCGGAAAGTCAAGAAGTGAAAAGAGTATGAATGGTTAATTTGGGGAGAGAATCCCCCTTTTTTTCCCCTAATCAGCTCTTAGATCTTTAGTGCTAAGGGTTCAATCCCTATTTCTCTCGCTGTTTCAGACAGATCCACTGAATTTTTATATGGGTATTTAAATCCTCTCTTACAGTTTTCCTCAAACCGACAGCTGTTTTTGCTTTTGCAAATATTTTCTACTGCAAATCAGTTTGCCCACACAGATTTGCATGTAAAGCCCAAAGCATCTCCGGATATAGTTCCCTCTTTGTATCCTGAATGCCAGATCCAGAAGGCCCAATATCCCTTGCACGTTTGCTTGTTAATCAAGTTCTTTTTATGCCTCCTACCACGAACCCCTCTCACCTCTTCCCAACAATAAATAAAAATCAAAACTTGCTCTGCATTGCCAAGCTGGGACGAAACTCCCCCCACACCCATCAAGTACCTCAAAAGTGACCCCTTTCTTTGCAAAGCCCACATTTCTCCGCCCCCCCCCCTTTTTTTAAAGAATATCTCCTTCTCCAGAACTTCCCTTTCTACTTTCTGCCCCAAAGGCGAATTTGGCTTCCAGGAGCCGATCACGGCCAGGTTATTCAGGGCACCCCCCTCAAAGTGCCTGGGTCGGGAATCCCGTCCCACTCCTGGATTTTCCAAAGTCTCCCACCCGGCGCTCTTTTCCAACCAGCCACTCGAGGCAAAAATAATAATAATAATAAAAACCTCGCGGGGAAGGCGAGCCGGCAAATCCACCCGCAGGGCCTTCCAGGTCCCCAGTTTCGACAACTCGGCGAGGCTTTGTGGGAAAAGTTTGCACCCCTCTCCCGCACGCACACACAAAGGGAGCCCTACCCGGCTCAACTTTCCAGGCCCCCGGTTTCCCCCCCACACACATACACTCCCTCCCTCCCTCCCTTTCGCCCCGGCCGCCCAAAGACTCGAGAAAGAGAAACCAACTTCGCTTGCGCTTCGTCCAAGCTTTGATCCGTGATGGTCATAATCTGCTGGAGGATGTCGCCGATATCTTGCTTCCGGGGCTCTCCGTTATCCGAAGGGGGCTCGTGGAGAGCGTGGGGGGTCATGGCTTGGACCCCCTGGACCGGGGGGTGCCCCGCGATCCCCACCGCCCCCCGCGCTTGGATCAGCCTGCCTGGATCATCCATGCTCGGCGAAGGGATCCCCCCCACACACACCCCCACTCTCCCGCGCGTCCACGCCGAGCCGCGAGCGAGCGATCGAGGGAAGCGATCGGGGCTGGCTGGCGGGCGGGCGGCGGGCGAGCGAGCGAGCGAGCCCCGGCGGCGGGCGGACGGGCGAGCGCTCCGGCTTCGGCCGCCCGAGACGGAAGGGCGACGCTGAGGAAAGAAAAGGCTGGCGCGCTGCTAGTCCATCTTGGCAGTGCGCTCCCACGGCTCCTTCCTTGGAGACTTTGGGACTGGAAAATGGAGTCCCGCACAAGGGCTGGAGGAGGGAGGCAGGGAGGGAGGAGGAGGAGCTGAGAAGGGGGAGGGAAAAGAAGAGAAGGAAAAAGGAGGAGAGGAGCTCCGCTTCTTCCTTTCTCCTCCTCCCCCCTCTCTTTCTCATCTCCTCCTCCTCCTCCTCCTCCTTCGGCGCCTCCTCCCCTGCTCTTGGTGCGCCCAGGCGGAGGGGCGCAAACTGTGCTTTTTATCTATATTTGCTGCCCTCCGCTGGCTTGGGAGAAGCAAAACGCCGGGAACCCGCCGAGCAGCCCCGCTCTACCAAGAGCCGCTGCTCCTCCAGAGCCCGCCGGCTTCCTCCCGGAGGCGGAGAAGCCGCTCCGACGGAAGGAAAAGGAAGCGGAGGAACCGCGCGGCCCTTTTGCGCACTCGGGGAGCGAGCGCAAGGCTTGGAGCGCCCCGGAGCTTAACGCGTTTTCCGCGCTTGCCCCTTCCCGCTAGGGACGGTCGATCTAGGAAGGGGATCTTTCGGGATCGCCCGCTAAGCCTTCCCGCCTCAGAAGATCCCAAAGAGACACACACCACACAGACACACACACACCACACACACACGCGCGCGCGCCTCCCCAAACAGGGACCTGCTCTTTGCGGAAAGAGTGGCGCTGGCTTTGGCTCGGAAGGGGACAGTTTTGCTTCAGCCACCCAACCGGGGACTCGGTCCGTTTTGTCGCGCTGGCCTACGGCTTTGTGAATTGCGTTTTGAAATCAAAGGCACACTTCAAACCAAGTGTGTGTAGTAGGTTGAAATGGGAGCCTGCGCGGTGCTTGTACGGGTACGCGGCGGTTACAGGGATGCTCTTCTGCCAACCGCCTGGCTTTTATTTATTTACGTTTAAGTGTTTGAATGGCACCACGCTATTAAAGAAAAAAAAGATGTGGAGACTCTAGAAAGAGCGCAGAGAAGAGCAACCAGGATGATTAGGGGACTGGAGGCTAAAACATTACAACGAACGGTTGCAGGAATTGGGCTTGGCTAATCTAGTATAAAGAGAAGGACCAGGGGAGACATGATGGCAGTCTTCCAATATTTGAGGGGCTGCCACAGGGAGGAAGGGGTCAAGCTATTTTCCAAAGCACCAGAAGGCCAGACAAGGAATAATAGATGGAAACTGAACAAGAAGAGATTCAACCTAGAAATAAGGAGAAACTTTCTGACGGCGAGAACAATCAACCCATGGAACAGAAGTTGCCTTGCGAAGTTGTGGGAGCTTCATCACTGGAAACTTTCAAGAAGAGACTGGACAGTCTCTCAGAAATGGTGTAGGCCATAGTCTGCTGCTTGGGCAGGAGGTTGGACTAGATGAACTACAAGGTCCCTTCCAATTCTGTTATTCTGTTAAATTTTCATTGCTGCTTGTACACCGCCCAAAGTTGCATTCAGTGAGATGCGCACCCATATAGTGTTTTTTTAAAAAAATAATAATAATAAATAAAAGTAAGCTGTAAACCATGGTTTTTACATCTGTAATCACTGGGCTGAGAGACCTTTACCCCATGGACACGCAAACTGAAATAGACACATTACGGCTTTCTGGGATGTGTCAGCCCAGGGACTATGAGGTTGTACATTGCACAGAACTGGAGTTGGCTTAATCATAGTTTACTTGGTAAATTACAGTTGAGCGGTCCACATAGCGCTGAAGGTATTAATCATGGTTTACAGACCAGACAAACCTAAGCAACATCTGTAGTTTTGAAGGCTGTTTCTAAAACCGCAAAGAATTCCACTTGGTTAACATCCTGATGATGTTACCTAGCTGGGTGGTGAGAAGTTTGCAAGTAAACAACCAAGTTCAAAGAACACCAAAGACTCCACAGTTCAAGACAGATATGCAGATATTCTTTTCTATTCCCCCCAAAATATCATATGCTTAACATTTGCCCTAAATCCAGTTTGTAAGAGTAGCGAAGCAGCTATAAAGATAAACGTTTGCTAAAGCAAAATTTAAAAAAAACCTGCATAAAGTCCACTAAACTCACGTGTATTTGAAACAAGGCATCCCAATCCCATACAAGCATAAAAGAACCGCAACATTAAATATTGGGTATTAAATTTAGCAATTTTCTATATAATGGCTTTCATCATTGTAAAAAAAAAAAATCAGATTTCAAATCTTCATGTTTTTATAAGCAGATGTTAAATCCAAGGGGATAAACGCTAGCCTTCTGGAGGCAGAGGAACAAGACTGGTTGATGAGTCTAGGATAATAGGATAGGTCTAGGATATCAATATATGCAAATCAGACCCATGTTTTTTCTAGCACATGTAGCATTCGTCCGATTCAAAAAACTTGTGAGGACAAAGGATTTGGATGTTAGGATGTGACGTTTCCTGGCAGCTTAGAACAGCAAAAGCTTACAAAATAATTGTCAGGTGCACGGAAACGGAACAATATGAGAGAGTTGATCAGAGCAGTACGTTTATTGCTACTTGCCTATTTTCAATAATCTTGCCAGACAGAACTACTAAATAAGGACTCCAAGGGTGTGCGGGGCGGGGGGGGGGGAAATGTCTGTTTTATGTCATTTCCTCCCTTTCTGCAATTCCAGGTTAGCTAGTCTCTTAACTGCTCCTTCCACTTCAGTTGCAGGTTGCACCACATCATAAAATATGCAACTCAACCCAAGTAACTTAATACAGCCAAGTAAGACAATAAACAACAACGTAAGAACAGTGTCAAAACAATATATTGAAATAATGGACGCCGAAGATTTAATTTCTAAAAAGTCTCCAGAATATCTTTCGCTTAATTTTGGACAGCCATACCAAGGGAGCCAAGTGCTCCTGCAAAGAATAGGATAGGATAGGATAAAACATGGGGTAGAAAATAGGAGAGGACAGGAGAGGATAGAAAATAGGATAGGTGTTGTGGCTGACCAATGGCCAGCAGAACTGGCAGCAGATTCAGACAGTGAGGAGGTTGGGGAGGAACATGAACCAGTCCTGGAGTCTGTGGAAGGCTCTGACAAGTGCTCTGCATCGGAGGCACAGATGGGACCGGGGCTGTCCGACAGTTATCAGCTGCCTTCAGAGTCAGAGATCAGTGGGGCAGAAGAACAGTGGGAGCCTGTTCCCGATGTGGACATGCACAGAGCTGCCAGAAGAAGGGAACAGTTAAGGAACAAGGGTCAACTCGGAAGTAAAGGCACAGGTAGACAGTGAATGGGCCCTCCCATAGGGAATAAAGAGGAGCGAAAGGGGAGTGGTGTTTGCAGGAGACAGTTCATTTAATTAGGGTAAAGATTTATTCCTGACTCCTTGCCATGCATGTTCTGCTACAGCAATGTTTCTCAACTCGGCTGCTTTAAGATGGATGGACTTCAACTCCCAGAATTCCCTAGCTAGCTAAACTTACTGGGGAATTCTGGGAGTTGAAGTCCATTCATTTTAAAGTCTTTAAGGTTGAGAATCACTGTGCTATAGCATTGTGCTTGGAAGCTATCGGCCTGGCAACTCTCCAAGCTTGATAAGGTCTATGATTGTAAATCACTCTTGAAAGACTGTTTGCCGGGACTTGGCTAGATGGGAATGAGAGGAATTCACATTAGCGTAAATAAAAGGGGTTTTGTCCAGACGAAGAGTCCGCTTCGTGGTTTGGTGAAGCCAAGGTCAGAACAACAGAACAACAAGATAGGATAGAACAGAACAGAATCATAGGATAAGGACAAGGATAAGGGTAAGGATAAGGATGAGACTGAGACTGAGACTGAGACTGAGACTAAGACTAAGAATAAGAATAAGAATAAGAATAAGAATAAGAATAAGAATAAAGCTAGAAGGGACCTTGGAGGTCTGCTAGTCCAGCCCCCTGCTCAAGCAGGACCCTATACCATTTCTGGCATGTGATTGAAATATCTTAGTCCCAAGCCATGTTGGGCCTTATGAGTCAAACACCGTAATGCCATGTGCAAATGAGAGATAGCAGTAGGGAATATCGGCAACAGCACTGCAATTTTCCAGAGAGAAGGGACCACATTCCAGAGAGGGGCCCAGCACATGAGACTGCACTGTCCTCAACTGGCTGAGGGAGAGAGGAAAAGGTTCCGGGTAGGGACACAGCCTAGAATCTCCCAGGGTTAGAAGGTTATAGCTTTAGTCTGTGTTAGTGTTTGGGGACAAACCCCCAAACAGAATGTGCAGCAGCAGTCAAGCCAGGCAGCCAAATGAGAGAGGAAGGGCCCTAGAGTTTACACACACTGATGACAAACACTGTTTGTAGTTTAAATAGTTGTTTAATCCAATTAGAGTTTAAACATTGTCAATCAGTCCATATGTCATTCACAAATATATCCATTCAGTAACTTAGTCCATTTACAAGTCAGTTCTATATCCTTATCTGCTTGTAAAGATATCTTCTCCTCTGATACCTTTCCTTTTGAAGACAACGCTGAGTATTCACAGGATATCAGCACATCAATGAAATAGTCCTTTCGTTCAGGTATTCAAACAGTTGTAGCAAACAGTAGCAAACAAAACAGTAGCAAGCAGATAACAAGCAGAGAGAGCAAGCAGAGAGAGGTTACGTTTCTCTTACTGCCTTTTATTGCCGTTTGTAACCGCACCCTTAATTAGTTAATTACAGGCAGTTTGGTGCTTAAAGCTACAAGTTACAAACACCCAAACCTTGGTTTATATATTTATTCACCCAAACTTAGTTGGTGTATCAATGTTATACCCAACAGTCTGTCTAGATTCTGTCTATCAGACATAAGCAAATAAAGAAGTGGACTTGACTGGCCCTCCCTGGGTCATCCTTGGGCTTAGGTCTGAAGCAGCCATTTCAATTTCCTCCAGAAACCTATTAGCAGCCAACGCAGCACCTGCGCAATGGGCATATTGCAGCTTCTGGGTGGTCTTCAAAGGCAGCTCCATGTAGAGTACATGGCAGAAGTCTAACCCAGCAATAAGGGCATGAGTTTTTTGTAGCCAGGTCCTCTTGCTTTAAGAAGGACCACTCGGTGGCATCTAGTT